GGAGGTAGTCTGAGGAGTTGTGGCAGAACGAGGAGACAGACTCTTATTCTTCTTCTTCTTGGGGACGTCGGGAAGAGCTGACTGGTACGTAGGAATAAAATTGAGTAGAAGAGGGGCCTTCCATTTGAGAACTGGCAGATCCAAAAGTTTCCTCAAGTCTTTGCTGGGAAAGAAAGACTGACGAAAACCCTTTGGTGGCTGAGGAAGAGTTGCAAGAAAAATAGACGTTAGAAATAGATAAAGTATTGAAGACTTTGAAAACAAGTAAATATGAACGCAGGGCTCTTACTATTGCCCTCTACAAAGACTGTTCGAGGAGGAGGATAGAGATGGAGGTCCTCGTTTGGAGCAAACTCCCAGTTCCCCGAGGTAATGAAATAGTCATCCCCAATTCCCTTGTTGGAGTCTGGGAGGTCGGCTACGATTTTGTACTCCGTGGACCTCGACTTAAGGTAGTAAATATAGCCTGTGTCTTTTTTGAGGCCACACATGGTGTAGCAGTACTGGATATCAGCTAAGGTAATCCTAGCGTTTTCTTATTTGGCTAAGGTTGTTATGCCATTAATGACTCGGTAGGAGTTGATGGCAAGTTGTATTAGGTTCAACTTATAGTAGTGGATTATCTCACGGAAAAGGATGTTGAGTGGAAGCCGGAGTCCGCATTCAATAAAAGCTACGACAGGGAAGGGCATTGAGTTAGTTGTGGGCATGATAGAGTCGTCTTCCCCAGCCAACCTCAGATGGTCGGGATGTCAAACTCTTGCCTAAAGTGCTCTAATTTACTCGGGGTGTCTACTCTATGTTTCCACATATCCATGATGTCGACTTAACGAGAAGAAGATGGATTTCAAAAGAAAGTGTTTTAGAGGGTTATTGAGACCTCGGCAAAAACTTAAGTAAATACTGGGGTAAGAATGTGTGGGAATTATTTCAGTTTTTCCTAAAAATTCGTGGGCTCTACAGCCAAATCCCAAACCTAGATTTATGGAAGCAAGGATCGAAGACGAGAATCTAGAAAAACATGGCAAACAGAAACAAGAATACGATTCAGATTCAAGAGCAAAGATGGACTATTAAGAACATCGCAAATACAAAGGGTATGAAGTCAAGAACAATGGCAAAAGTAAAAAAAAGTTGTGAACAATGCGTGTATTCAAGATATAGGCAAAGAGCAAGGTTGTAAAATAAATATACTCAGAAACAAGATTCATAAATCAAATACTTGAGTAAAACAGTAATGGCGACCAAATAATGAAGCAAAACTTCTTAGAGCAATAAGAAATAAAACAAGAAGGAACAACAGCTTACCAGGAAAATGAAAGCTGGAATGGGGATTGCCGATGTCTGACGATGGTTGCGAAGGCGGAAGATCGGTGAAAACTACGCCGGAAGGGGAAAACGGAGCAAGTTGCAGAGCTATTGGAGCTTGAACAATGGCGTATTCAGAAGCTAGACAGAGCTGAGAGCTTGAGGATACGAAAGTGAGAAGACCAAGAGAGAGGAAATGATTTTTGTTAAAACACAGAAACGGCGGCAAAGAGATCATTAATGTGCCTAGAAGAACGTATGCGTCAGACGGCGCACGTGAGAATGATTCGATTTACAGACGCGTATCAGGTACGATCTGGTAAGAGAAAGACACGTGGCTGAAACGGTTGAGTAGTTGTGCACGACAGCTCATATGCATGAGAGAGCACTTGGAAGTCTTGATCTTTAAAAAGACAAGTCAGCCTATATGATGATCTTGGCTAGAAGATTTTTAAACCGACGTACTGGCAAGAAGTAGCGATATATAGGTTCCATCACCTTAGAGTGCCGAGATAATAGAATTTAGGGGGCAGTTGTGAGGATATATTTTTTGAGTACTAACACGTGGCCAAGGTGACGCTAAGGTTACAGCTGAGGTGCCACGTGTCTTGGTCGTGATGCTGAGGTAATCTCGGCTAGGCCGAGGTTATCTCCGAAGATATCGGAATCCGAGATAAGCGGATAAGGGATAAGAGAATTAGAATGAGGAAGGACTTCGGCCTGGATAAGGATAAAACTCTAAGGGAGTTTATCTTTATCTATTGGAGAATCTAGGATGAGCACTGAGCGAGAGTCCATTGAAGCTAGGTTTCTAGTGGGACTAGGATTGAGTTAGCTATAAAAGAGAGGCACTCCCGATAGGTTTAAGGTACGCAATTTATATTCTGAACAGTGAGTTTAGCACTATTGATTATCTTTCAGAGATATACTGACTTGATCGTCGGAGTGTCCTGGGTGGACGAATCACTGCCGAAATCTTCTCCTTCTGTTACAGGTCAGTCAAGTGTCATCTATTCTGTTAGTGTTCTCCAGTTAAATACTAAATTAGCAGTGTGATCAGAAAATCATTCGCACAATATTAAAAAAAAAAGAAAAGAATGAATGCATGATTAAAATGAGAAAACAGGCATGAAAATGACAAAAGAGTAAATGGGACTTGAAAATATCTTCGGGGGCATTGGGACTTGACATGTCATGTCATGTCATGTACGATGTTGTCAAATCCATTTTTTTAAGTTTAGCCTTTGTAGCAGCTTTAATGTGGCTGGCATTCAATCGAGTCTACTATTTTTTTTTGAACATCACAAATCCATTGTCATTAGGGGTGAGCAATCTTTCATATTAAAACATGAAAAAATAACCTAGGGTGAGTGGGAACCTGGTAAAGGCTAAGGTACGCAATTTATATTCTAAACAGTGAGTTTAGCACTATTGATTATCTTTGAGAGATATACTGACTTGATCGTCGGAGTGTCCTGGGTGGACGAATCACTGCCGAAATCCTCTCCTTCTGTTACAGGTCAGTCAAGTGTCATCTATTCTATTAGTGTTCTCCAGTTAAATACTGAATTAGTAGTGTGATCAAAAAATTATTCGCATAATATAAAAAAAAAAAAAGAAGAAAAGAATGAATGCATGATTAAAATGAGAAAACAGGCATGAAAATGACAAAAGAGTAAATGGGACTTGAAAATATCTTCGGGGGCATTGGGACTTGACATGTCATGTCATGTCATGTACGATGTTGTCAAACCCACTTTTTTAAGTTTAGCCTTTGTAGCAGCTTTAATGTGGCTGGCATTCAATCGAGTCTACTATTTTTTTTTGAACATCACAAATCCATTGCCATTTTGTGTATGCAATCTTTCATATTAAAACATGAAAAAATAACCTAGGGTGAGTGGGAACCTGGTAAAGGTCTGAGATTTAAGTCCCTAAGTCTTGGGTTTAACTCTTTTCTAGACTAATTTTTTAGGCGTAGCACAGTTCGTTAGGAAGTTGACCTCAAGAATGCCTTATCAGCTACTTGATGTGGGTTTAATTCTCCCCCGCTGTGCGAGTCCTGACTTAAGCGGAGCTTCCCTTGGGAGGTCGGGATAAGCTTCCAGGTTACAGTCTCTTACTCGGAACAGACAACAGGACACCCTGATGATCTTCTCAAGGGGCGCTGCCTTGGACCTGTGGGAGAGTGGGAGGATTTTCCTGTAAAAAAAAAAAAATAAATAAAAAAATAAAAAAATAAAAAAACATGAAAAAATTCTAAATTAATATAAAAGATTAAAAATAATTATAAATATATAGAAATATGTAATTTTTTTTATGCAAAAAAATCACATCAAACACCTTCATCTTTCGGTAAATAATATTCACTTTCTATCTTGTAATTTTTTCTTAAAATATTAGGATTAGTTTGGATGTGAATTTGAAATATATGAATTTAACCGGAATCAGATTCTGTGCTGTTTGGGTCATGAAATCCATCACGAGTTCTGTTTTGGTAATTTGAATAGTTTAATATACAAAACTCACTGAATATGTCATCCCTATAAAAAATAACATTATTTATATATTGATAGTCACATGATCAGATTAGATTTCTGTCAACAATTATTTGATCAAATCATATTTCTGTCAACAGTAAATATAAATTTAAAAAAAAAATTATTGACAAAAATCTAATCTGATTAGATAATTATCGATATCCAATCAATATAAATTTTTACATAAATAAAATACTCCAAAAATTTTACAAATTCAATAATTCGAATCATTGAAACAAGATCCGATAGACTTTAGGAGCCCGATGCCATGCTCTAGTTCAATCTCCTGAACCTTTTTCGGACGTCACAAATCCTTCGTCATTTTGTGTATGAAATCTTTGATATTAAAACAGGGAAAAATTACAAATTGATATAAAAGATTAAAAATAATTACAAATATATCGAAATATATAATTTTTTCTATGCAAAAAAATCACATCAAAAGTTATACCTTCAACTTTTGGTAAATAATTTTTTCACTTTCTGCTATCTTGTAGTTTCTACTTAAAAAATTAGGGTTAGTTTGGATGTGAATTTGAAATATATGAATTCAACATTTATCATTCAAGAAAAATAATTTAAATTTAGATATGATAATTTACATCCAAATTTTAAGATTAAATTAAATAATTTTATAAAAATAGTTATTTAATATCATGTTAAAAATTCTTTTTTAGTTACAAAGATCTTGCTAAAATACTTTTCTTCGACAATAATTTTTCTTAAAATATGTTTAATAAATTTTTATGTACTTATAATAACTTAACTCTCCAATACTTTTAATTTCAAACCCCTTTATTTGAAATACACATCTATCTAAACCGATTGTTAATGTAAAATTTGAATTTAGTTTTATGGAGGAAAAGAGAAAATAAAAAAAAAATAGTAAAATTTAATTTTTTTTAAAATGCTAGAAAATTAGAAGAAAATAAATAAGCATTTGCCTCTTTTTTTTTTTTTTTTTTTTTTTTTTTTTTTTTTTTTTTTTTTGTATAGGTAATTTCACTTCTTTTATTTTCTTTTCCTTTGACAAATTTAAACTTTGTTTCCATTTACAACACATGTTTCCACAGAAAATGGGACTAATTTCCAATTACAGAATGGTAGGAATACAAAATGTACTACAGAATGGTCCACAGAAAATGCAATCGATGGCTCAGATTAAACTCAGTTATGGTGAATGCAAGTTCAAAATAAATCTCAATCTGTCAATACATTTTCTCTGATTTATTATGTATTTCAAATTTGCGTTCTTAGCATTACTGCCCCAAAAAGGTCTTTCAGCAACACAACAATCAAGAATCCCAGGTTCATGAGCGACGCAGAAGAGACTTCCAGCATCATCACTAAACAAAAAGTTTTCTTGATCAGAAAATATAGGACTTGCAAAACCTTGATAGTTCCATGGATCAAAACATTCAAGGATTTCACCAGAGCCCCATTGGCTGGTGAGGAAAAGACTTAGTAAATCAGTGCAACTTAGACACTATATACAACACAAAAAATTTAAGCTAGAGGATGCAAACACACCTATTGATTAGAGCCATCATTGTTTGGGGCAAGCACTAGACGACCATTTTGGAGTAGAGATGCAGGAAAAGGTGCCCGACAATTGCCAATGTGTGATTTGAGGCGGGGTAGGTTAGGGTGTGCGCTTCTGCACCGGTGGCAACGCAACTCCATCGACAAGAGTTTGTCATCATCTTTCAATGTGGCTCGTCCGCTATTGCTGATTTCTTCTATTACATCTACTGAATCACGAAAAAAAGGACTGTTGAATGAATTCCAGTGCTTCTTATGCTTCAAATGTTTTGAATTGAAGTCCTGGCTGATGACATGAAGGTGCAATTGTCGCATTGATGGGGCCTGCAAGCAGAGACACAGTTCAAATTGTTACTAAGAAAAAAGCAATTAATAAAAAACCAAAAAAAGGGGACACTGTCAAATTAATGGTGGTACTGTGGAATGGAATAAGATGATAAAAAGATTAACAAGTAGCTGGAGTGTAAGAGCACATACAGAATGATACCCAAGACGAAAAACTAAAGTTCCATCTTCATTTAAAAACTTCTCAGCCCACTTCAAGCCCACCTCATGCATTGTCATTAATAGCTGAAGGTGTTCTTTACCTACATCTGGAAGTTGGTCAAGTCCTTCGTAACGTGCCAAAACCAAAAGGTGACATTTTGCCTGCAAACAGGAATATAATTTTAATTTCTTTTTAAGTTCAAAACTGACATTTTGCCTGCAAACAGGACTGGAATTTTATTTTCTTTTGAACTTCAAAACTGAATTGTGAGAGAGAGAGCGAGAGAGAGAGAGAGAGATTACTTTTGGATAAAGATCATTCACTACAACAACATCGCCTGATATCTCTATCACATCATCATGCTTCTCAGGTCGCATGGCAATGCGGTAAAGACCTTGAGCCCATGGACCCCAGGCCTTGGACATGGTTCCGGAGTTCTTTTCATTCTTTGCATTGTCCTTTCCATCTGTAGCACCACTTATATTAGGTCGAAGTTCTTCCTGAAATCCCTTGCATCTTTTGTTCTTCTCAGATTCATCAACAGCCTCTCTCTTGACCTTCTGATCAGTACTTGACAATTGATTTGTATGACTTATCTCAAAGTCAACTGGAGATTCTGACAGCACTGACCCATGTTTTTCAATCCTTTCAGTCTTTTTCTCATATAATGTTTCTTGGGACCTCACTATTGATGCAAAACCTTCAAAAAGCGATGAGTAAGCCTCACGAAGAACTTTGCAGCCCTTGATATAGTCGTTGTTGAGAAAGTTTGGTCTTTGTGGGTTCATATTTGGTCCAAGAACGTGTATGACATGGGTTACCCCTTCTCTACTAAACAAGGGAGAAGTTGAAGGGAGAGGAACAACCACGGCTTTTCCAGGGGTAAGAGATCCAGCCCGTTCCTTGGTTGCGATCTCTAGGGCTGGACCTGCAGCACTAAATATAGCTGCATTCACACCTCCACCTCCAGGTTTCAATCGCCTGCACAAAGCTTACTTTACAGTTGATCTCTTGGCAAAGAAATGTAGAAACTTGTAATCACCCGTTGTATATACCTTTATAGACACAAGTTTACTGTGGTATAATATTTCATTAAGATGGTAATGAAGAAGGTTAGACTTCCCATCATCACTAAAAGGGCAGACACGCAATCAAAATAGAGTGTGTTCTGCGAATATGAGCAACCTTATGGTCTTAGTTCAATATCAGCGGGAATGTAGTTCAATATCACCTGGATTATATTTGCAGAAAGATAATTATCTTTCACTTCAGTATCACACTATTTACGAATTTGCAACGTATGGGTCAATAAACGTGTTCTTGTACACATGGATTCAGAAAGACTAGATCCAGTTTTCTCAAGATTACTTTAACATATTATCAGAAGAAAAGTAGGAAGTCTAGGACTTCGGGAGATGATCAATTATAACAATCTGCGTGTGATTCCAAATTCATAATTTTTTCTAAATATAAATAGAAATAAAAAGCGCAGGACCATAATTAGAGTTTCAACATCTACCTTAATACCTGAAATGTGTACTCTGTGAATGCTATTGCTTGGAAACAAGATAAAACGGTGATTTGGATTCTTGCTCCAAACACAAACATTCGGAAAGCAGTGCTTTGGTTACTCGAATTTATATCAAGACACAAAATTCATACTTGTATTTTCTGCAGATAGACAAACACTTAATGAAGGGTGTGAATGTAATAAATTAAAAGCAGTGTATAAAATCTTACCAGTTAGCAGCATTAGCTATTGCATTGCAGTGTAAACCTCCTCCTGAATATAGTCGAGTTATATCTCCCACAAATGTCAGGAACTTATCAGTGTCAATGTTCTTTTGTCCAGATTTAGCCCTAACCAAGGACAGTATCTTCGATCCATGGGACAAATCTACGAAAACAAACCTGGCATTGCCAAACTTAGTCACAAACTCCTCAACTTTCTCAACAATAATATCAGATGCCTTCTCAAGGTCAAACTGAAAATCTGCAGTTGAAATAGATGGAAATGCCAAAGTTGGAACATTGTTCAAAGACGAAGTGCCATCAACAAAACCTACTGCCAGATCTTCACCTTCCTTTAGCTCCTTACCAGCAGTTGCCTTAATACCTTCTGGTCCTTTGCAGCAGGAGGCATTTTCTTTAGTGACTTCAGTGGTAACAGAATCTTGCAAGCTATGTCCTGTAGATACTGCTTTAACAGGGGCATCTACTTTTTTAAGAAATTTCATTATTCCAAGTTGAATTTTGGCATCTGGGTTCTTCTGGCCGAAACAGCCAGATGGAAGGATGTGCAGTGGACCGAGTGCACTATATGTACTAATAGCAGTTTGAACATCACTTTCATTCTGGCAAAATGTGATCCTAGAATACCCTTCGCTCAGTTTAGGCAATTCCTTCTTTTGCAGCATTCTATTCACAACTGCAGCAGCTTTTCCACCTTGTAAATTTCCTTCATGTCCGGTCCGCTTTACAGACCGAGATATGCAAAGCTTGGCAGGAAGATCAAGTACCACAGCATGCACATCTACTTGGGGGCTGCCAAGTTTCACAAAGTCTGCACGCTGTTCTCTATCAAGATTGCATCTGTCAATAAATACACTTTTTCCATCTTTCAATGCACTGGCTGCACTTGCAAGGCACTGAGTTTTTGTTCCAGCTTTACCATTACCAATAGTGTCCTGTATGAAAATGCAAAGGGAATCTAAGCAACCTGAGCCATCAGCTTCTTTGTTAAAAGAGATCAACTGATCAAATCTTAAAGTCACTTCAAGGAACTTTAAAAGAGATGTTTTTTGGATGAATGCATAAAGGTTGGGCTCAAAGGTTTGATTCCCAAGCACAAAGGTGAACAAATGAAAATGATAATCATGGCTTTAAGCTAAGAACTAGCAAATAAAATAGAAAAAGGCATAACGGCTAGTTGGGTTGGAAGCTCTAGACTGATACAATTAGACAGATTTCTTTCGGTGCATAGCTATAATTCAAGCTAATATTTGTGGGGTCCAGTATCAAAATTAACACTTGTGAGAGTGGGCACGATGATGACCACGGGCTTGCTCTTAATGGCTACCTGAACTGAAATAACTGTACTAAGTCTATTCCCTTCCCTAGTCATGCTATGGACACACCATTTTCCACCGTCTACTTACAATGGGAATGGATTGTGAGTAGGTGGTAGAAAATGGTGTGTGTGTAATCTTATGCTTTCACTAAAATTCTATTATATTGGTAAGATTTGAGTTATGAGCAATGCTTATGTTGCCCCAAACTTCTATGCAGCTAATAGAGCTTCCCACAAAAACTAATTGCTGAACAATATATTAAAGTTGGAATTCTGTATATATATATAGTGTGAAGGACTATAAATATTGAACCACACAAACATAATAAACAGTTCTAAGATGATGACTACGAAAAAACCCAGTTAAGCATTTCATCAAACACAAGATGGACTGTGAAAAAGAGAGAAACCAACCTGGCAGACACGAACCCAGGGCCGAGTAGAGACTCGCATGACGTGGTCGCAGAAGGTGGACTTGCCACTACCAGGTGCACCCACCAGAATCACCACAATGGCCTTCCACTTCTCTTCTTCACCTATTTGAACAAACACACACACAGACACATAGAGACAAGACTTCAATTTGTTATGGAAACTAATCGAAACCCTAGAGAGAATATGGAATTTGTGAGTTTTGCGTACCCTTGGTTGAGGATTGGCCATCAACTTCCATTGTTTTTGAAATATGCTCTTTCAATGTCTTCAATCTCGTTCGTTCTATCTGTTGATGTGACGAACCTTTTGGTGGTGGTGATCTGGGTTCGCCATTGCTGGTTCTGCAATTCTATTCGCTTTCGATTGTTGCAGCCTGGTGTGTTTGGTTACGGGTCCAATGTTAGCCACGAAAAATGCCTAACCCGTACTCGAATGTTACTGCATTAAATAATTTTAAACTATTTTTTGATTAATTGAATTGAAACTCAAAAATTTTCCCTCAAAAATTTACAATTGTCTATTCTAATCTGATTTTTTGGGTCTCTTTGATTAGAGTGGAAAATAATATAGAAAATAAAGATGATAGAAGTGAAATGAATGAAAATTCTATTTGGTTAGGGGAATTTTGGTGATGATTTTTTTTATAGTTTGCATGCATTAGACCAAGTTTGGTTCGTATCCTCAAAAAAATCTTGCTGCCGAAGGGGATATAAGGTAGTCGAACATGAGATCTTAAAAGAATAAAATCTCCAAATCTCAAGTCTCATCCATGTTGGAAAAATGATTTTTTGGTGACTTTAATGCAATATTAAAGTGGGTGCCAATCCTCAATTGATGTGGAGTGAAGTTGGTCTAGATTCTTTGTAGTGAGATCTTTACACTACAAAAAAATACAAAAAAATCATTAAGATTTGAATTAAAAATTAACTCATTAAGTTGGCCTCATGAAAGAGGTATTAGGAAATGTGTAAAACCTTATATCCCACATTGATTGTAAAAGAGAGTATTGATGGGTATTTAAATCCTATTTTTTACCTAAGGGTGTGAATTATTTGAGACATTCAAATTTTCCGAAGAAAGGGAGTTATAGATGCTTTAAGGATAGATTTGGGCCAAAAATATAGTCCAAGTTGGTTATAAAAAAATTGCCACACTCGCGCACTGCCTGCCCGTCCGGACTGGGCTGGGTCTGTGATCCGTGGGCCATGGATCATGGATCTTAGGCTTGGGCTTAATGGATTAAGTGTAAGGGTTAGGCATGGCCCACTCATCTTAATCTTTGTGGGCTGTAGGAAATTATACACAAAAATCATGTCTATAATAGAGCTGGTAACTCCTCTATAATGATAATGAGTTATTCTAACAGTTTTAATACGGAATTCATTTTTGCATTTGTGATGGGCCTTAATGGCAGAAGTATTTTCCTCTCTTCCTCCATGTGTATAAAAAGAGGCCCTCTCCATTTTCATTATGCGGGGAATTTATTCTTCTTGTTTTCAAAAGTTTTTCTCTAGTTTGTATATTATATTCCTCCTGTGAGAGAGTGTTGCAAAGTTCTGTTTGCTGAAGCTACTTAGTCAGTGTATTGCTATAGCTGGTCTAACCGGGGAATTTATTCTTCTTGTTTTCAAAAGTTTTTTTCTAGTTTGTATATTATATTCCTCCTGTGAGAGAGTGTTGTAAAGTTCTGTTTGCTGAAGCTACTTAGTCAGTGTATTGCTATAGCTGGTCTAACCGTCGTATCCTAAGAGATAGATGTTGAACAACCTCCAACACCTAACCGGTGAGGCGGTGAATTTGTTTTAAGGATACTGTCTAGTGCAGACTTCGGTTTGTTTTCCTTTGCTATTTTATTTTATTATAAATTTCTATAAATTCCAACATGTTCTTATTCTGAAATTTTAATTATCAATTATGAATCTATTTGTTTTTATTTAATTACACAATATATATACAACAATCCACTCTATCAAACTCTTGGGATTTGGTGATGAAGTTAATTGGCTAGTTTCACAATATTTCTTTTGGGTGTATTTTTTACCTATATCATGATAATATGATTTGTAAAAAAAAAATAAAAAAATAAAAAGTTAACTTTCTACATTTGTTTTACCATTTTAATGCTAAGTAAACGGAGAATTTTAATTTTTTAATCTTTTATATGCTTTTCATCACTTTTCATCTTAAATCAAATTCAATCTTAAGTTCTAATTTTAAGTTTCTTTGAAGATTGTTAACTTGTTAGAAATAACTAGGTAATGCAAATTAGTACGTAGAAATGTTATTCAAATATAATTTTGGCCAGAGATTCTATTTATATGAGTCCTCATTTGGTTTAAATGGTCTATCCATACATAGTATCCTCATATAGTGACTGAGAGGGAGATTTCTTAATTTGGCATTGGGCCGTGGTTGTGACCGAGCTAAATTGGGTCGAGCTAGGTTGGGCCAAGCAAGTGGCAGTGCGCTCGGTCAAGACCCCGATCCGATTTAGTCGGGGTAATATCGGACTACCAGCTCGGTTCATTGTATGTGCTCGTTGAGTTAGGCGGGTTAGATCTTTCGCAGATCAGTCCAACCGAGCAGGAGCTCGGTCATAACAGAGGACGACTGTAGACACTCCATTTTTGACCGACCTTAAGACTCAGACGTCATCGATTGAGCGCGCGGTGATTGCGCATGTTGTGCTCGTTCTGAGGTTACGGAGTCTCGGCTGAGAGCCTTGCCTCCGGACTTCGGGACTCTTTTATGCTTTGTCTCGGTTTGCGAATCAGGTTCTGTTTTCTCTTCCTGAAGGGAGTGAGAGGTCTCTTAGACCATTTCTTAGTGGCCGTAGGCTACTTTTCGTGGTCATAGACCACTGTTCCCGTTTGGAGACCAATTTTCGGTTTTCGGAGCTGTCGGCCGTGCGCCTTGGTTCGGGACCGCTTAACTTTTTCCGTTTGCTCCGGTTTTTGGCACATGCCTTGTTTCCTCTCTCTAGAAGGACACTGTGGCCCGAGAGACCACCTTCGTGGTCGCACGCCACTTTCGATGCTTAACAGTCAGTTTTCGGGGCACCCGACTGCGTGTTTTGGCCCCCAAACTCTCGTTTTGCATCCGTCTTGGTTCATTTTTCGCATAGACCTTGTTTTCATTGTTTGGAAGGTGTACAAGGGTGGGAGACCATCTTTTCTCCTTGGAGACCACTTTTCCCGCGCTAGCCGATTTTCTTGTCAGGTAACTGGTCTCCCTCACTTTTGAGCCACAATTGCTGGTCTCCCACCATACCACTTGCTTGCATTTCATGTGGAGACCACCCTAGGAGGCCACCGACCAGCTTGAACCTTTTGAATTGGTCGGCCGACCAGGGGGAGTGGTCGGCCGACCACCTGGACTGGTCGGCCAGCTTCCCTCAGTCTTTTCTCTGTAAGTTGTTGTCAGCTGTGCCAGTTGGAAGCCACAGAATTGATCCTCCATACACGTGTATGGAGGATCTTCAAACTTGGTTTTTAGCTTCTTGGAGAAGCTTTGAACTCTCTTGTCTATAAAGGAGGGCCTCTCCCTCATTAGCAAAGGTTCAGAAAATTTGATTAAGGCATATACATACACCTCTCTCTATCTCTCTGTTTCAAGCTCCAAAGTCCCTTGTTCTTGGCCCATTGCATACCACCTCCTATCCTAACCCCTCCACCATCACTCTAAGCATCTTGGAGGCCATTTTCAGAGGTTGAAGGTTTGTATTTTTGGTCCAGAAGCTGCTGGAGTTCTTGGCTTTAAGGGTAACACTTCTTTCCCTCTTTTAGGTTTTATTTTGCTTCATCTTTTAGCCTTACTTGCAAGCATTTTTGAGCTTTGTCATAAACTGAAAAAGTCTTATTTTGAGGTCCTTTACATGTTTGTTTAAGGTCATTTTTCTATTGGGGGTCATCTACCCCCTTGCATGCTCGTTTTCACCTTGTTTTGAGCCATGCATTAGGGCCTTTATGTTGAGCTTTGTTGGCCCTTTTGACCATTGAAATCCAGCGGATTTTCAGTAGTTATTATGTGTTTTTGAGAGCCAAAATCAGAGAGGGGTGACCCTCTCACCCCTTGTCTTGTTTCATAGCATATTTGGCCTAACAAGGGAGCCCATGTGTGCATGCTTCCAAGCCATGTTTCAGGCCATTTTTGGTGAGTTTTAGGACCTATATGAGCTCTGTCCAGAGCTGTTTTTTCCATATTAGGTGTCCCTCTTGCATGTGTAGACTAACCCTCTTCATAGCATATCAAAGGAGTCTATACTTGCATGCTTCCTAGCCTCATTTCAGGCCATTTTTAGTGAGTTTTAGGGCCTGCATAACCTCTATCTAGAGGTGGTTTTGTCATATTGGGTGTCCATCTTGCATGTGTAGAACAACCCTCTTCATGGCCTATCAAAGGAGCATTTCATTCTTGCATGCATAAACCATGTTTCAGTGAGTTTTTGGGCTTTATTTGGCATGTCATACCTCTAAATTTTGCTGATTTAGTGGCCTCTTGAATGCTTAATATACTTATAGTGTAAACCCTCTTTACTAGCTTGTATTGCATGCTGTTTTGGCCATTGATTCTAGCACTTTTTGGCCATGCCTTAACCTGATTTTGTGCATATTTTGGACTGCCTTAGCTCTGTTTTTGTGCCTCATAGTCGAATGATGCATGCTATGCATGGTTGTAGTTCAATATCCCCCTAGCCTTGAGTTTTGTAGCCTCTTGCATGTTTGAATAGAGGTGTTTGCATGTCTTGGCATCATTGTGCATGTTATTTCAGACCTCATACTTGTGCCATGTTCCCATGTTTTCCACTCCTCAAGTGCATTTGAGAGTTGTGCTTGTTTGTCTCATTTTTGAACCATTGCATGAGCTTCATTTCCATGCCTTTTGAGCCACCATTTTAGTCCATATTTGCTACTGTTTTGGTCTGCATAGGGACTGTTTGGGGGTGATTTGGTCATTTGAGCATCGCTTTGCATACCTCTAGTGTAATCTACTTCACTAATTTTGGTATTTGGGCCACCTAGTATGCATTGTGTGAGGTGTTTGCATGATTCGGGACCCTTTCATATGTCATTTCAAAGCTGGAAAATGTGTTGTTGTATGCAATATTACATGCTTGCCATGCCTTGGTAGAGTTGCACTTGCTGCCTTAGTTTTGGTCCCCTGCATTTGGGCATGTTTGCATAAGTGTTGTGCTTCATTTCATCATATTTGGCCACTGATTTGAGTGTGGCTGAGGTCCACTCATATTGGTTTAAGTCCATCTTGTATTGTGTGTGCCATATTATGTCATGTGCATTGAGTATGTCATTGATAGTTCATAGCATTGCGCATGCTAGTTGCACATTTTCATATCACTCCTTGTATGTTTGCGTGTCTTAGTTGTATTTCGTTTAGGATTGCATGCTCGTTGTTGCATTGTGTTTGCATGCC